TTGGGTTAGGCATATATGGCTTTTATTATGTTGAGGTATGATCATTCTTTTCCCACCTTGCTGAGAGTTTTTATCAAAAATGGGTGTTGGATTTTGTCAAGTGCTTTTTCTGCATCAATTGATATGACTATGTGGCTTTTTTCTTTCAATTTATTTATGTGATGTATCACGTTAATTGATTTGCGGATATTGTACTATCCTTGCATCCCTGGGATAAATCCTACTTGGTCATGGTGTATGATAGTAGGTGTGCATAATTTAATAGGATAAACAGTATTATTAAATACTAGAGGCCCATTGCATGACATTTGTGCACTTGTGGGTAGGGGTTTCCCACAGCCTGGCCTGTGCCCTTTCACAGGGGAGTGAACCTAAGCCATCAGTTGGATATCCTTAGCGCTGCCACGGAGGTGGGAGAGGCTCCTGCCACTGCTGCTATGCTCTGTGCTTGCCAACTGTCAGCCTGGCTTGTGGCTGAGCAGTGCTCCCTCTGTGGGAGCGCACTGACCACCAGGGGGCAGCTCCTGCATTGAGCATCTGGCCTCTGGTGGTCAGTGTGCCTCATAGTGACTGGTCATTCCACCATTTGGTCAATTTGCATATTACCCTTTTATTATATAGGAGGATACTTCTTAAATTCTTTTTTTAGGGCTCAGTAGTAAAGATTTAATTTAGTTGCATGTAGATTACTGTATTAGTTGAGCTCTTTAATATCTACAGGTCAGACATAATTGCATTTTTATGTATCCTGCAAAACCACAATAAAGTACTAGAAATTAAAAACTTACATTATGATGATAAACTCTGCCTATGCTGTTATTATTGGTAATAATGAAACAATTTCAGAGATAAGATTTATTACTGAGCTTCAGTTATAATGGTTTGAAGAATGGAGTAAATGTCTAGAAATGAAACAGGTCCAGAATCCTTATCAGAAAGATTGAAATTATATTAGGTAAACTCAAGACAGTAAGGAGACCTTACTCATTGAATAGTTCTGGTATTTAAATAACCAACCACATTTAGTCTTATGTTTATCATATCACTGTAGCATTAATTTATGAAAACTAAAATTGGTAATAATTATAATCAAGTAAAAACATCAGACCTCAGTATAACATACTTATTTTTTTTAAGGAAATACTACACTTACTTTGGATTATTCCCTCATTTAATCTTTCTTTTAGTAGATAAGTGGGAGTATCTTTTCAATTAAAATAAAATTCTGGACCAAAATTAGCTGAAATGAAAAACCAAAATATATGAGCCATCTGTGACTCCAAAAACTATTTGTCTTTAGTGTTGACTGCATGCTTTGCAATAATTTACAATTATTTCTTTTTCTCTACAGATATAGGTTCTATGCCAGGTAGAAAATAAACATTGCCTTTGCAGACAGGAAAAGAAAACTGAACCTCACAATTCACCTTAAAATATTAAAAATACTATGCAAATTTAACAACACTGGGTACTTTTATTATATAGAACTTAATAATTAACAAAAATGACTTCCATTCTCGTGGCACTTTTATAAGAGGATTTAATTAAAAATAAAGTTGAGAAGCTTTCTGTTGAAAAAGAATGAGATAATGGCTACAGTTTTGAAAGGACAAAATTAACTATACTAATCTGGTTGCAACTGCTATCTTGTTTCCTCATTAACATATTCTAAAACAAGAAACATGTCGTGCGTTTATAGAGTCTATCATTTGATGATTTCAGGACACTTGTTATATCTCCATCTAGAGTAACCAGCACTATTAATCCCATTTAGATGTTTTTCTCTTCATATAACTGTGTTCCTCACTATTAGTAGTTTCATAGAAGCCTGTTTTATTCTTTTATGTTACATGTAGATAACCAATGTAAGCCACCCAAAGTGAAAAGGCTGTCAATCCAAAAGCCATTACAGATTTTTTGTGTCTTGTTTTTAATATATTTTCATTGATTTTAGAGAGGAAGGGAGAAGGAGAAAGAGAAACATCAATGATGAGAGAGAATCATTGCTTGACTGTCTCTTACATACTCCACACTGGGGATTGAGTCCACACCAAGGCTTGTGCCCTGATGGGGAATTGAACCTTAACCTCCTGGTTCATAGGTTGATGCTCAACCACTGCGCCATACTGGCCGTGCAGGTTTTATAGGTATATTGAAGCGCTCTGGATTCACAGCTCAAAATAAGGTTGTTGTGTGGACCCCTTTGAGCCCTACATTTCCAAAGTCTTTCTCTTTGGGAGGTTCCTTTTTAAAGGCTAGAGGCTCAGGTGCTGAGACATCTTGGCTAATGATGATTTGTTACCTGTTGCAGGGTCACCTCCTCTCAGTGCCCGAGATCCTCTGCTTAATGTGTTTCTTAAAAAAATGGTTGCTTAAATTAAAAAATGGTTGTTTAGTATTCTGTCTGGATGTTTCACATGTTGAAATGTTTTAGATTTGTTCTTTCATTTATATACAAATTAAGTTTGGAAAATAATTTTGGAAAGTTAATTTTAAGTATTCTGGAAATATTTGGAAAGTTTGAGAGTTGTTCCTTAAATGTATTTTATTTGTTACAGATTCTATGGGGAAACTGAAGCAAGGTTACGTCAGATATTTGCTGAAGCCACTCTGCGGTATTCTATATTTTTTTTGTTTGAAATTAGTAGTTAAGGCTGTGTTAATCAAAGTAGAGATACCAACACTTTATACTAAGCATGAAAGAATAGTACAAAACTAGTAGTGGTAGCACTAGAAATAGGTTGTAAATCTAATGACATTTCCTCTCATCTATTTCTAATAAATTCAAGTTATTAAAGAAATAAGTCATGGGGATGTGATGTATAGGATGGTGACTATAGTTAATATAACTATTTCATATTTGAAAATTGTAAAGTGAGTAGCTCTTAAAAGATCTCATCACAAGAAAAAAAAAGTGTTGTAGCTATACATGGTGACAGATGTCACGATGACTAGACTTATGATCATTTCACAAAATACATATATTAAATTACGTTGTATACCTGGAAATAATATAATGTTATATGTTAATTATATCTCAATTAAAAAATACATAAGGGAAAAGAATTAAGACATTGTTATTTGATATCATGAGACTTCCTGAGGATTGTATTATACTAGCTCTTTATGCTCAAAACTTTGTTTTGTTATACTTTGTTTCAAAGGGACAAATATTTTGCTCTTTAACAATAATTCTTGTTGAATACTGTTCCTCAAATTAGTCTACCATGTTATATTACAAGAAGCATTAGAGCATGGTCTATAACTTGGTCTAAAGTAATATTATTTATAATATGGCTACGCTCTATCATTTTTTTGGCATTTAATTTAACATAATATTGCTCTCTTATCAAAAGAACTTCAATTTTTAAAGTATTTTTTTCCTAGTTATAGTAGATGAAATAAGTAGCCTGTGGTGCTAATACTGAAGGTTTGAGAACCAGGGCATACCTTATTGTTTGGTATATTTTTGTTGTCATTGTTATGCTCCTGGCAGTTGAGGTTTCCTCTTATGAGAGAATTCACATCTTTTTTTAAAAATATATTTTATTGGTTTTCCACAGAGAGGAAGGGAGAGGGAGAGAGAGCTAGAAACATCGATGAGAGAGAAGCATCGATCAGCTGCCTCCTGCACACCCCCCACTGGAGATGTGCCCACTACCAAGGTACATGCCCTTGACTGGGATCGAACCTGGAACCCTTCAGTCACCAGGCCAACGCTCCATTCACTGAGCCAAACCGGTCAGGGCGAATTCACATCTTTTTATATCTTTATAATCCCTCCCCCCCACTCCCACCCCAGGATGACCCATCACATTTACTTGTGATATGTCTTTAGTCTCCTTTAATCTCAAATAGTTTTTCTGCCTTTTAAAAACCTACCCAACATTGATGTTTTTGAAGCATATAGGCCTGTTTTGTTGAATGTCCTTCAGTTGATATTTTTCCATCGATTTTTTTTTTGAGAGAGTGGAAGGGAGGGGGAGAAACAGAGAGAGAAACAAGGCAGTGTTATTTGATATCATGTGAGAGAGACATATCGATTGATTGCCTCCCATAGGTCCCTGACCAGGAACAGGGATTGAGCCTGCAACCCAGGTACCTGCCCTTGACCAGAATCGAACCCAGAACCTTCAGTCTGCAGGCCGACACTATCCACTATGCCAAACCAGCCAGGGTGAAAGTAATTTTTTTTAATAGGTAAAGTAACAGAGAGCATTTCTAATTTTGCTCCCTTGGACTTTAAACCTGTTCCCAGGGACAACATCTCTAGCCTCTGCTTCTGAATTGAGGCATAACAATGCAGTAGGCATTAGTGGGCAAGTTCTGCCTAGGCGTAGACTCTCATCTCATGAGCAGTACCCTGTTCTCAGTGCTCTTCTTTTAATTGAGGGCAGATCCATTAGAATGTACTTTTGGTGAGTTAATAATTTGGGCTAGAATTTATCTAAGGTTTTTCAGTTTAACATCCTGTTGCCTTTGTCTTTAATATTATTAACTAAATCCTAAATGTGACATGTCACATGTCAAATTTAAAAATTAAATGTATATTAGCAAATTCATTTTTACTTACTTGTTTTTAGACATCCATCAATTATTTTTATTGATGAGCTGGATGCACTTTGCCCAAAAAGAGAAGGGGCTCAGAATGAAGTGGAAAAAAGAGTTGTAGCTTCACTGCTAACACTGATGGATGGTATTGGTTCAGTAAGTATAGCACCAGTATTGATTCTGTGTAGGAAGGGGTCGATTCTTAATCATTTGTGTATATATAGTAGCAAAAACTATCAAATTCTTGAATTGTGGAGTATTCTAGGGTAAGGAAAAAATATTAGCTATAAACACTAGAGCAGGGGTCCTCAAACTTTTTAAACATGGGGCCAGTTCACTGTCCTTCAGTCCGTTGGAGGGCTGGACTATAGCTTTAAAAAAAACTGTGAACAAATTTCTATGCACACCGCACATATCTTACTTTGAAGTAAAAAAACAAAACGGGAACAAATACAATATTTGTATTTGCATGTGGCCCGCGGGCCGTAGTTTGAGGACCCCTGCACTAGAAGGAAGGGCCACAATATAATTTTCTTTGGCAGATTTCTTAGTAACTGCTAGGATAGTATAATCTGACATTTTTTCTAGCATGTAAAATAATATACAACAATGGATTTCTTCTGTAATAAATGTTACTAACTTAAAAACCTGAAACAAAAATCATAAGAAAGATTTAGTGATTAAATTTTAGGAGAATTTATAAAGAAATTTCTTGAGTAAGTCTTATATACACATGTATAAATTGATTCTTTGGGGGCAAGTGAAAATAAAGAAAGTGAGAATAATGTATTGTGCAACATTTAAAAGGAATTTACCTTGTTATCACTCTGATGGCATATACATAATGTTGACAGTCATTTACCAGAAGAATACACTTACGCAGAACTTGTTTTTTAGAACCTAAAGAAATTTTTAAAAGTATGTAATTCCAGGTCCTCTTTTTGCATATTAAAAACTGGACTATTTTTGGTTTTTACTTCCTATTGGTAGAAATTGAACATGCAAAAATAACGTGAAGGTTTAGTATTAAGTCTCTATTATTTGCTAACAATGTGTTATAATTTTAAGAGTGACACAAGACAAGGGTTGCTATAGGGAGGAGGCTAGGTGACCACCTGGTTTCGTCTTGGGGCAGCACCTAAATGTGATCAT